TGTGGGTGGCCCATTCCTCCAGCTGTCACTCTTTTATTGGCTACCGCAGCTAACCCTGCATGCGGTCTCTAAACTGAATAATATTGTTTTCAGCATTTTGAAAAAAAAAACATAAGTTGTCAAGATATAGTTTACCCAAACAGGCCAAGTGCATTTTCAATACACCACCGTACCAAATAAGTTGTCTCAAACGGGTCCTAAGGTTGTCAACAGTTCGTGTTTAATTTATTAAGAAGTTTTTGTTCGATTCATCATTCATTAAGTTAATGATTCTAACACGAATAATCTTTTTGAATGGGTTTATTTTGATTCAAAATAGTTAAATTATATATATATATATATATATTGATAAATAGTATTTTTAAACAAATTAATTAACTATAAGTCTATAAAGATTCAAGATCAATTAAAATTACTAATTAAAAAAATGAGATAAAAATATATTAAATTATATTTAAATTTTGTTTTAATATAAACAATAAGATTTAAATCTTACCTTAACCCTTAGCACCTTATGACTTTGTGATTAGGGCTGTCAAAAACGGCTCTTTGTACGCTAACAATTCATGTTCGGCTCGCTAAGCAAACGAGTCAAATAAGAACATAATTTTTTTGTTCGAAATATAAACGAGACGAATACGAAAAGTGATGTTTTTTAACGAGCAAGATTATAATTTTATAAATTTATATACAAAATTTTAAACTATGTGACGTTTGTAATTTTTAAAAATACCATCGAAAAATCCAGTCTAATAAACATTACGATTTTCGTCTTTATTAAATTCTTAATAAATTATCACGATCAGTAGAAATTCATATATTCATTACTTATTTCTTACGTATTGTCAATTAACAATAAAAGCCATTAAAAATCTCATTAAATAGCTACTTTATAAGCCACATTACAACCGGTTCGTGTCAATAACAGGTTGGCGACCCGATAAGGGATCACAATTGCTGGGAGAGACCGGAGGACATGGATACTGCACGGACGGTGTACAGCGTGAGCTCCGAGAAACCGGGGTCGGATGTCGCCGGAGAGACGGCGGCGGCTTTATCGGCGGCG